GTGTGTGTGTTCCAGTCAGCTGTCGAGTGTCGATGATCGAGTATCCGAGAAACGACACTTGGCTCACGTACAAGAGAGGGGAAAAAGAAAAGAGAGGAAGAAACGGACTGTCGGAGTCACGCCTGGGCTCTGGCAAAGTAGACACGAAACTTCGCGTGGGGGCGAACTGAAAACTCGATGACGGACAGGGAAGAGACGCGAAATTTTTGCGGCATGGGGGTCGTGGGACAGAAACTCTGGAAAAGCTGAAGGAAAGATCCCAAAAAATAGCTTCTGGAATTCTTTCCGCACGTCTTGTCGAGGAAATCCGTGGTCTTCGCTTCGGGAGGGGGATTTCGATGCGAGCAGTTTTTCGGTGTCGTGGTGCGAACGCGGATGTGCAAAGAAAAAACCCTTGTGGTTTAAGCTGAGATTTTTCTTGTGAGTCTTATATATTCATCGGTGTGGGGCATAAATATCGGATTATAGACCTCATGTGAAAATCCCTTTTTTGTTCGTACAGTATTTGTTTCGGCTTAATCATCCATAAATGCCCTTCAATTGTCCACGCAGCCTGGGAAACAAATACAGTAATCTCCCTGTTTTTGAATAAAAGCTTCCGGCCTTTTCTGAATTCTTTGGATTTTACAATCGCGCAGAATCACTTGTCTAGGATGACATGTTCTCAGTAAAAATCCAGCTGCTACATAAATCTCAGACATGACATCTTAGAATGATGTATCAGCTTGCGGTATGGAAGTTTTTTCAAGAAGTCATTTTTGCTTTTCTCATTCTGGAGAATTTATACATTACCCATCTTCCGGTTACCTGGGAACCTTATCATAGGTAAACTCTCTCTACAACAATTTTCTACATATTTTAAAATGGTCTACAATTCATAAAATACCTTTTTTCGAAAAAATTGTAATTTCGCACAACAATGCATAAAATGATCTTTGCGGTGGTTTCCCAAGTGCTCAAAATAAAGTTCGACTAAAATATTTTTTTGCTGATCATTATGTCAAAGTCGATGTTTTTGCACCGAACCGTGACACGCACATGTGAAGAAATACTGTAATTCATAGATGGCATGAAATTCGCTGCCCTTCAGTAAACTCGGAATCCATCATGGGAATCGACCCGATGAACGATTTATTTTCTATTCTTTTCTGCGGATGTTGATCCCAGTGATGCCCCATTCGTGTGGGGATAAGTAGAAGAAAGATCGCCAGTTACATTTTAAAGTAAAATTCGTGCTATATGTGAGCACATAAAGTCACAAGATGTGCTCATGGAACGAATGCAGTGTCATGAAGGTGCTCAAAAGCGCCACGGTGAACACATTCACGTTGCCGAGACGCAGACCGAGGCTGGAAACCCAAGGTGACTGCCGGGTTCGATTCACTCTTTTTTACTTCATGTGCATGAGAAAAATGCAGTTTAACCAGTTTTTTTCTTGTGGGGAGGATTTTATCCAACTTGGGTGGCATCAGGCGAAAGCCTTTTAGCCACACTCCAGGGCTTATTATCGAGGATGTGGCCTTCCTGAGGAGCTGCGAATATAAAAGATGTAGAAAGCAGGCTTGACAATGACTCGCCAAGCAGTCTTTTTTTTGTGTGTGTGCGAGAGACATTCGAGGGAGGATGAAAATCGCTGAAATGCCTTTATGTGGGTCCTGAGGGGAAAATAATCTCTCTTTTTTTTCATTTTGTGGTGGCATTTATTTTATTTTATTCTGTTGGTGAAGAGAAGGAGTCTGTATAGCGTGTCGGGCGGGCTGAGAAATGATGACACGGTGCTTGATTTGCGACCTGATGGCCGTTCCATCACCCTTGGTTGCAATTATCTCGTCGTCTCTCTTTCCGGGTTGTTCATCAAAGGGTTATATCCGGGCTTTTCTTATTCTCTGGAACCAAAGCATTAATTGTAAATATAATTGAAGATGTACAATAGCTTTCGCGGGTCATCGCGCCCTGGGGGGTGCTGGTTGTCGATGATTTTTCTGGATCGTTTAAATTTTAATCACTAACAGATGTAAAGATTCCGTTATGCATTCCGAAAATTTCAATTCTTTTTTTTTGGATGGGGTTATAATGATAATTAACGATTTAGTATCGGGTGTGCAATGAACCGTTGATGGGAAATTTATGGCGGCGAATTTCAGCAGTTTCCTGTTTCCCAATTTTTATGAGAACTAACCATTTAAAATGAGTACGTCGTGTTCTCATTTATTCATTTTTTAGCTGCCATTTCTGTTATGGATCATATTAATGAAGCACGGATTTCTCAGGAAGTCCACGAATTATAGATTTCGATATCTCCATTTGTGCGATACTGATGAATGCCGTTAGTTTTGAATTTTGAAATCATTCGAAAGTGCGGCTCAGTTCACAATATACGGTTCTTTTAATTTAAACTGGGACGTTTCGAACGGCCAAATTTTCAGTGCGATCATGTAGGTGTCGCCTGAAATCTCAAATATCGTTCCATTTTACTTTCCATTGCAATAGTGGATGTCCTCGACAAAGTTATTCTTTTCGGCATATCATAGATGTCGCCTGCTAATTTTGCGTTGATTCTACAGTTCGAAGTTCAAATTTTGTCGAGTTATAATGATCGAAGCTTTGGATTTGGATGGATTTGGTTCAAGTATGCGGTGTGGAAAGTTTATGGATTCGATTATATTCAAGAAATTTTTTTGTGGAAATTCACGTAAAAAGTAAATGACGGAACAGTAAATTTAATTTACCGGATTCGCGTGCAAGAAAAGTTAGAATTTAACGAGCAAATCAGGGTAGATGATTGAGAAATAAGGTCCCTGCGTGAAGCAGCGATGTCCTCGAGTACAATTATCATTCCTGAAGATTACAAAGGAATTTTTCGTAAATATTTTGCATTGGCTGTCAGCTTTTTTTGCACTATGGCCGGAAAGAACGAATTGGCGACGCGTGGGCATGAAGATGAAGAGGAAGCCTTTCGGGCGGAAATTTCGACCAATTATCTTTTTTTTTTTTCTCCTCAACCCCATGGGTGATGAATCTGTCGTTTTCCTCATCTGCCGGCCATTAGACGTGGCTTCAGTGGGGGAGAAACGAGAAAAGAGAAGGAGATGAATGGTGGAATTCTGCAGTTTGTCAAGAATTAAGGTGGGCTGCCGCATGAGGGAATGGTGTGGCAGTAATGAACGAGGTATTGAGCAGTGGGGGCACATGAGGAAACCCTTTCTCACCTGGGGTCCCGAGAAGCAATTTTCTCCGGTGTCGGATTTTTCTATTCTATTGATGCGTGTTTTGAGTGATTCTTTTACCCCTTCGGCTTCGTCTTCCTTTTTGAGACGAGACTCGGGGGCGGTTTGATGTCGGAAAGAAGCTGCTGACCTTTTGTGGTTCTTTCAGATGAAAGCGTGAATACAGAGGGTTTCATCCTTCCTTTTGAACAACCTGAAAAAAAGCTGCTTTGAAGTTTTCTGTGAGCAAATGAAATCGTCGGCTCCCCCCAAAAAATACCCCACCCGGTGAAAATTGCGGAATACAGTCGTAGCTTCAAAAACATAATCAGAAGTGCAAATCAGAGGTTAACATTTCGGTTTTGTCTCTCTAGCTTGAACAAGAATTCTTGAAATTTTGAAGTTGAAACTTATTTTATGTTATACACTTGTACCAATGTACGGTATAAACCTATTTTCAAATTTAAAAATCAAACCAAACAGAGGAGCGTCATTATATTGTTCCAGAATATCTGCGGGATTTTGGCATCGGTGGAAGTTCACGCAACACCTTGAAAATTATTCTGAATTATATTATTTCAATGAAAAATTCGTTGGAAACTATTAGTTGGGTATTCCGAATATCTCTTCCTCGAAGTATAGAAATGCCATTTCCGGAGTTGGGATGAAAACATTTTCTTCAAATTCATGAATTGAGTCGGAAGACGTGACAAGAGAATCCTCCCAAGGCCCTTTCTTAAAAGCTTAAACTTGTGACTGTACATTTGAGGAAGTTGATGGAAGACTTCAAATGTGTTCCGCAAATTTGCCCCGCGTTTTTTTTTTACCCCCTTTACCATCAAACGCGGACTTTTTTCTTTGCCGAAAAATGCTTTGGAAAATGCCTAGGCTCCTGATGGTCGTCGATTTCGCCCCCGCTTATTTGACTTTGTTCCCGGATTGTTGACTTATTTATCAGGAAATGCATAAGTAGAAAGGGGCGCGGTTTTTTCGTTCGTTTCGGACCCCTGTCGTGTTTGGGGTAGTTGATGGGGATTTTGGGGGTCTATATATTTTTTTTTTTTTTTGCTTCAGTAAGTTCTCCTCACCTCCACCTGCTTTGTGGGAAATTTGGTGACATGGTGTTGTCCTCGTGTGTGACAAGGTGGGGGGAGGGACGAAGTCGAAAAGGGAATCGATGACCGATGCCCAGTTAGTTACTTGTTCGGCTGCCTTGCGACCACGCGTGTCGTGTTTCCCAGGAGGCTTTCGGAGCTCATTAAAAAATGTTTGTGAGGGTTTCTTCCGTAGGAAGCGGAAAAAATATAGATTTCTGTTCCTTTTACAATTAAAAAGAAAAGAAGGATTGTGTTGCGCGATAAGCGCAAAATTGCGCAGCCCCTCGAACGACAGATGTTTTCGGCGACGTTTGTTTTTGCCAGGAACTGGCCCAAGATTTCCGGTAAATATTTGCTTACTTTCTGCTGCCCGCTTGAATTTTTTTTTATTGGTGAAGGGAAATTTGTGGCGATGTACAAGTAAATTGTACGTGACCAGCCATATTTTATTATTTTCTTGCTAGTGATAGCCAATTTTTCTTTCGCAACTTTTCAGCCGTGACTACAATATTCGTATTAGGATAATATGTATTAGGATAAATTGATTTACGTCAACGTGTCAGACGAACGAAATCCTATATTGTGATTTTTGGTGTGCTGAGGCTTGTGAAAGATTAGTTGGGTGTTAATTTGTGTCTCCGATTATTCTGTGAATTCCTTTGCCAAATGCTGTAGAACTTTTTCCGTTGCTGTGAGAATGTTGAGTGGTTCCGGATCTGCCCAAATAGGTTAAATTCCGGAAATACTTCGCTAGACAAATGCTGTATTTCGCTGCAATAAGCGCCCGATCGAATTCCGGAATCAGAAATAATCTAGAAACAGAAGCAAGTAAACGGGATCGAACAAATTGTTGAATGTGAACAACTCTTCAGAAGTGCACGATGTTGCGGTTTTTTCCTTTCAAAATTTGATTCAAGGGCTGAATTTGGTTAGTTTAGTGAGGTGTGAGAATAAGTTCGATTTGTTCATAGTGTCTGATCGAGGTACTGTAATGTACAGTGCAGTACTTTGTTGTGAGTTTCGGATAGTTGCCTTAGATTGGCGACGTGTTTTGTTAGCTAAAGAATGGTAGCTGAAACTAGCCAGCGACCGATGCCATGTTTAAATTATGATCAAGCAGATTATTTTCTATATATATATTGGACAGCACCTCATGGGAATTGTGGGCTTTGACTTTAATTTCCCATTATGATCAAGTCGAATATTTTTGATTGCTATACGCATGCATATTGAACACCACCTCATCCTCTCGTCGGAATTTCGGATTTTGATTTTAATTTTCCATTTTTATTCATTCGTTTTCATTGCAGACACTTCGTACGACAAGGCATGCGGTGGAGACCGTCGTGGTAGCGCTCCTGCGACTCCGATTCTTGGAGGACGAGCCATGGATTCCACTCCGTCACGCATTGCGGTGAGTCGAGAGAAAATTCCCCAATTTCCGTTCAATCGTGAATCCTGTTGCATGCGGTGATAAATACCTGATAAATTGGGTTTTTGTTCCCCAAAAGAGCCCCCGGATTTTTTTTTCTTGTCACCGTTGGCTGCGTTTTGATTGGGCTTCCGTGGTGATCAGGATCCGTCGAAATTTTCTTAATTATGTCGCGCATTCTCGCCGTGATAATCAACCATTTCCTGAATTCTGAAGACATGGCTATTTTTGCGGAATTTTTATAAACTGCGAACGATGATCATGTTATAAATCAGTGCTCCCCAACTCAGGTGTGACCAAGGGCCAAATTACCACGTTGCTTTGGTCATGGGCCACATTGTAGAGGTGGAGAGTCCTTGTGGGTGACGATCGACAATAATTTGTACGAACTCTCGTTTTACGGATGCAAAAAAAATATCCATGAGGCAAACACTCATCCAAAACCGCAAAATATATCTTGTGGAAATGTAGGATAGAACAAGGAGGAGATTGTCACCAACGGAGATTTGTGGGTCATTCGTCCGTGGCAAATTTATAAATAGAAAAAAAGCTCAAGAAAAAAGTTTAGTAACTTCGCAGGTCCACTTTTCTGATCACAATCGGGCCCGTTTTTGTTGGATTTCACAGTGATGGATTCAAGATCGTAAACATGAAGGGATTTCCCAAGAATTGAACGAACTGTTCGGAATATTTCCGGCGTGAATGCAGATTTTTTAGTTTTTTCCTATTTGTGTGTCAACAGTAATCCCCCCCATTATCGGTGAGATTTCACGATACGTGATTATTTCTGCTCAGTCGAATGCGGAGTAATTATAGAATCGACCGAGATCATTTTGGTTTCTGAAAATGCAGAAATGTCTCGTTGAGAAATCCGTTAGAGTGGGGGAATTATTTTAATCTCTAGCGGCGATTATTCTGATAATATTGAGGTAGGCGTTTCGGTCTGATGCGAGGCGGTAATTCTTTTTCATCTCTGACGTTTGGCTCTCACGATGATCAGTGGAAGAATTAAAATTAAAACGAAAGGAAAAAAAAACGAAGAACAAGTTGAAAGCAATTAATTATAAACTCGTGGCCAGACGGGCTCTTCTTTTTATTAGCTGGCATTCGCTTACCTTCCGGAAATCGAATATAATTGATTTTCTTTGTCGCCGACGGGATTTTTAATTTTAGTCAGAAGCATGATAAGATTGGGGGAATCATTTCTTTCGCCGTTACGCTTGATCATCTTTCAAAATTTTTATTTTCTTGCTTCGATTCCATTTTTCGTTTCATGCGTTCAGAAAGTGATTCCCGAAGTGAATCGATGTGAACCAAGTCTGAGTAGCTGATCGAATTTGACTTCGTTTTATGTTTTTTCCTCTTGCTCATCGATCCTTCAATTCGATTCCGTGGGATGTTTACACTGTGTTTTCGATTTGTTCCCAGTGAATGAATGTTTGCACCGAGCGTCGGATTTTAATAGTTTTTTTTTGCGTTTGCTTTCTTCATCTGCGAAATTTATGTTTGCTCCGCAGAACTTTTTCTCGAAGCGCTCGTTCAAGACGAACCCGCTGAAAAGGACGAAAAGCGTGACGAAGCTGGAACGGAAGAAATGCAACCTCGATGCCGACAGGTGAGCTCCTTTCCTTTGCCATTCTCTAGGGAATCATGCAAAAAATTCTCTGCTGAAAGAGTAGTTTTTCGGATGAAATGGAGGATAGCCTTTGAGGGTTCGGTCCGTTGACTTCGGAATATTACATTTTTCAAATTCTTACGGTTTAAAAAAATTGTGAAGGAAGCACGGAAACAATGAAAAGTTTTTGTCCTGGCTCCCAAGAGGAATCCCGCGAATACGAAATTAATGATGAGTGTAAAAATAGAAAGCACGAAAGTAAAATTTATCGGAGGTACCGAAAGAATTTTTCCCTCACTTTTGGAGAAAAATACAGTAAACTGTTATACCGGCTTTCTTTCATTTGTGTTTTTTTTAAATCACTTTAGTGTATTTATTCTGATCAATGCAAAGAATCGTCAAATTGGTCTGAAAAACGCGTCTGGAATGAGGTTTCAGTTCGGTTCTTCCGCTGAGAAATTGTATATTGGTAACATTTCGAAGTCAATCGAATAATTCGAACTCATTTTGAAGTACAACAGTGTACAGTATTTCTAGAATGCCTGCCGCATGGCGTAAGCCGTGCGACTTTCTCCCGCGCTTAAATCTGGGGAACCACTTCTGCGAATATTTTGCTGAAGAAGAAGAATATTTTCTATAATTTCTGCGTAATATCGAGGGTAATCGAGTCTTTCTTTGGTTTAGAGGCAGTGCTTTCGGTCGACTGACTCTTGAAACGCTTTGTTCGAAACTTGCGGTTCTAAATTGAGTTTTGAAATGGTCTCGGAAACAGCGGAAACCTGTTGTTTTGTGGGGGGGGGGGGGTGCTTTTCGAAGTTGAGCTTGTTTGCGAGCAGAAATTTCGCGAGCCCGACGCCGATGTCGATAGATAAAGTCGAGGGGTGGGAAAAAGCGGAACTTGACACGTTCTTTTCTTATCTTCTTCTCGCCAGATTTTTTTTTCTCTGAAGCATACAAAGAAGCCATGTTGACTTTTTTTTTTCGGAAAAGAAGAAGAAGAAGCAGCAGCAGCACCAACGATTGTGCAAGTATTTTTAGCACCTCCGCGGAATCCGAGATCCGTTTCTGCCTCATTAGGACGTTCCTTCTGCGTGGGCGTGCTTGCATAGAAAGCAACTGAGACAAAAATAAATAAAAATAAAAATAAAGAACATTCGCGGTCCAAGAATTTCATGCGGGGGTGTTAAATAGCCAGTAATTTGGCTGTTATCTTGTGTGTTGCGAGGGGCAGGGGGAAAAAAATATCACGGTTTGAGGTGTTTATTTTGCCGCATTTCGGAAAAGGTGTGGGAAACGGGCTTTCACTGTCGCGAGCGGATAGGAAGTGACGCGCGGATGTAAACACTGCTCCGACACGCAAGAGACGAATTTTTTCATATTTTTTCTTCTCCAAATTTTTCATCGGAATGGGGTTTTCACGAAGTTCCGGTTCCTTCAGTCTCCCTGAAAATGATGGTATTCGATCAGATTTATACCATGTTTTTTTGCAGAATAACTGATTTTATTCAATGCGTCGGGCCTCTTTATTGAAGTAAAAAATAGTTTTCGAGTCATTTTGCATATTTCGTCAGTGATATTACCTACGTTCATCCGAAACAGTCATGAACTTTCAATGGTGTATTGTACATTGTTATGTGCTCCTGCTCCTAATTCAGAATCTTCCGTGATTCAATTCCGCTTTGAAAGGTAAACGCAATGTTTTGAGTTCAGAAGACTTTCTTGATTTTCAAAATTTAATAAAAGAAAAGAGGGACTTTCGTACCAAGGATTGAAATGTTATAGTCGTGTACTGTAAAAGAGTTCTTGATTTAAAGGTGGAAGAATCAAGAATATGGCCACGAGCTTTGGAGGGAAAGAGTTTGAAATGTAAGAACTTGGCAATTACACTCGAGCCTACAAGTGTTGCCAGAATTTTTACCGTATGAATAAGACGGGGTATTTGCAGGAAAACCGTTGATTAGTCAATCTGGCTTGTTTCATTTTCCCCACATGATTCATCTACTTTTGGGACGAACTCCGTGATATATCATGTTTGGGAGTGATTCGCTCGTCTAAACAGGGAAAGATGATTGCTGCGGTGTGTTATTTCAGTGCCTAGTGAGTTTATGCAATCCGTGTTGGTAGAAAGGCGCTTTCGTGGTCCGGAATTATTTATTTTCCTAACTTCGCCAGACACGCCGAAGAAATCTGGTGCGGTTTTCTTTTGCTTTTCTCTGTTTTTTCCGTCGGTGTAGAAATGTTTTCTTGAGGTTTTCTGGTTGCCGTTTCACCGCGAGTCGCGGCTGTAATTGTTTCTTTTCATTTGCGGAGTCCCTTCCGGAAATAATTATGCGGCTTGAGACTAGACAATAATGTGTATTTTTCACTGGGTTTCATGTATGAACTAGATCTTGATTGGCGCATTATGGTTTTTGTACAATATTACATCTGCTAGGGCCCGAAAAAAAAGCAAGTCTTCCAGCTGTGGAACATCACTCATCCCTAAATGGATTTCCTGACGAAAGTGTGTCCGAAACCGCACAGTTTTCTCCTGCTGGACGAAATCATTCTTGTTTCTTTGCTGTTCGAGCAGAGTATTTTCTTTGAAATCTCTTGATGATTATAAATACATTATAGGCAGACTATATTTATAAATTATTCTCCAATAGCTCCTACCTCTGGAATAATCTGTCTGAAATATCTTTAACGATTCCTGCTTTTGGTTAAAACTCAAGTGATTTTTAATGCGCGCTCGTTAGACTAATTTTAAATTTATTGCTGTTCAATCATATCTGAACTTCGGGAGAAGAATACGGTAGCTCGTAATTTATAAGTTTGAATTCGAAAATGATGGAGTAAAACGTCGTTTCATGATGAGCTCTCTTTCTTTGGTGGTTTTTCGGTCAAATGTTTGTGCACAGGGTTATCAGTTAGTTTATGTTAATATGATCCCACGTGACTTACGAGAGGCTATGAACTGAATCCCTTGTATTCGAAAGGTCGTAGCTGAAGAAATAAAATACTGCACACTCCTGGCAAGTATGTGAAGTCGTTAGCGTGAGTCGTATATGAAATGAGGTACCCGGAAAAGTTCATGGACCAGAGAAGGAAATTTCAATGGCTCGTCGGGTTCCCACAGCCTTGTGTTGATTTGAGCTTTTGCTTCGTTCCTTTTTCCCGTCGAACAATAATGATTGAAAGCCCTCGAGGCAAGATTCCTTGAATATTTTGCTGATAGGAACTGTGCTGATATATAAATCAGGAGAGAGAAAAAACCAATGAAAATGAGTTACCTGTATAGCTCTGAAAAGCAATTTTTGATTTTCTGCTCATGCCGTTATGACTTAGACATTAAAATGAATTTCAAGGTGGTCCTTGGATTTGAAGTTTAAGTTTTTCACGAACCTTTCCGACCGATCTTTCAAGCAAAAATAATCCGAATGTAAATTAAAACCTACCACCTCTACAGTTTTCATTCCAAGGACAAAATGTTGATTTTCAAGATACAGTATTGGCTATTCATTTTCTAAATTTTTTGTTCAAGGAACTTCCCTGACACGTAAGCCAGCCGAGTTGTAATGGAAAATCGTATTCAATTTTGAGGAGTTTGTTTTCTCCCACACCGAGGGGAAATCCTTGGTCAAATCCGCGGGTCACACACGTGAACCATTTCAATTTTTCGTAAGTTCGTGTGTATCAACTGCTTCAAAAACCTCAAGGAAAAAAAGAACCATAGCTATGGTTCCCACAGGTGTCTCGCTACCCCCCCCCCCTTTCTTTCCATCAGGCATTTCGCAACGAACCCGAAGTGGCTGGTGTTCAACTTCGCGAAAGTGGGATTGATGCGAGCAATTTCGTGCCGCGGTGGGGGGAAGGTAATAGTAATTATCATTATTACTCTTTTTTTTTTAATGGAAAAAGAGGTTTTCGGGTGGTGACGCTTAATTAATGACGACCGAGCGGAGTACTCACTCGTCTTTTCGTCTCCGGATCCTCGAAGGTCACCTCGGTAATTGATTTGACGCGTTATTTTTGCCAAGTAGGCCATTCGTTGAGAGTGGCTCGTGGCCTCTGGTAATTAGTTTCATAAGTGTCTTTATCCTTGCGCAGCATTTACGGAGGCAATTTCCGTTCATTGGGGGCTTTCGAAATTGACCACTTTCAGCGTCGTATGTCCGCCTTTATTCAAGGGTACTGTATAAAACCGTGGTGATTTTTCAAAGAAATGCCTACAGCACGTATTAATTAGAACCCCGTGTGGAGATTTTAAGTGTATGCAGGTTTGTAATGGTCTGCTTAAAATTGAAATTTTTGTCCGTAGTAGTGGTGGGAAAGTTTCTGTGCGTTGGAAGAATTTTTAATTGACTGCATCCCTGCTTTGAATATGCGGCTTATTTGTGTGTCAAGGGTAGCGGTATTCCAAATACTGTACTGGGCACCAAGGGCACTGATTAATTTGAATTCAATGCTGTAATTTTTTGAAATTTTTTTTTGGATTCAGGCTTTCGATTGCCTGCCCCAAAAGCAAAATTTTGCCCTCTTCAGTGCCATTGCGAGACGAACGCTTGAGGTTTATGACTTGCCTTGATGAATATTGAAAGTTCTCTGCTGATTTTCTTGGCGATATCATCTCCCAAGTGTCCCGAAGCTTTCTGAGATTCTGACTTCGTGAAGAGCCATGTTTTTCTGCAACATTTACAACTTCAGAAAAGTCTTTGATGTTGTTTCAAACCCTTTCTCTAATAAGCTCGATATTCAGATCACAGGAGTGTATCGAGTATCGCGTTCCTTCAACCCCACAATGCGGATACGGTGTGGGATTATTTTTTGGGGAAAAATGATTGCCTAAATAAGGTAATTACTGTACCTTACCTTGTAAAGCGTGAGAAAGATGTTCTTTTGTCGAGTCCTAAAACTGACACTTGGACCACTTGCATCAGGTAAGGAAAGTCTCCGACTAAATATTCCGCAGAAGCGTAATTAAGAGATTTTGTACCACTCCCGGCTACCTGGTTTCTTTTCGTG